CAGGACCAGCCACACTTTTTGGAGGGACGAATACAGAAACCTGGTGCACCGAATGCATGCCACAAGGTTCCCAAACGATCCTCCGCAGGTTTTGAATTCAGAGTTGTCCTTCTCCTAGACCAGTTGCCATCCAAGGCTATAGAACCCAGTCTGTCCTGCTATTTTACCCATAGCTGGAGGGAGATGAAGAGGATACATACCTTTCCAAAGGGTATTAGCACGTAAGTGAATGTAATGGATTCGACTGGAATTTGAACTCGGCTCTGCGATTCCTCAATCCAAGCCGCTATCCACTGCTCCACCGTGCCTATATATATATAAAGACCCACTCTTATGTACACAGAAAAGACGTCTATTATGATAACGCATTTTTTTTTAGTATCCTCTGATACTAAGAAATTGATTTGATAAATTTACACAGCTGAGTAGGACACAGTGTCAAGTAGACACGTGGATAGAAACAAAAGTGTCTATAATTTTGATTTTATCAGAATTAGAGAAAACGAAGCTGAACATCACTGATTACGGTGAAAATAGCGACAAGCCTGTATTAATTAAGAATCAGCTTTGAGGTTGTAACCACCAGAAACATTTCTTAATATCTTCATAAAATATATACTTAAAGAAAGCAAAGATCCGTCAATGTCTTACACACCAAGAAAGCCAACAAATAATACTTGTTTATACGAGGTTGATGTTATAAATTTACACAACCGAGTAAGACACAGTGTCAAATAGAAACGAGGATAATTGTTTTGCACCAGTCTCCTAAGTGTGACTCAACGTGGAAAACAAGAACTGAAAAAATTGTTTTTATCTTTTTTTTGTATATACCATAATTCCCCATGTATAATACGCATTTTTTCTAAAAAAAAAAAAAGAAAAAAAAAAGCAAAATTAGGGTGCGTATTATGCACAGCTACAAAAAAAATCTTTTAAAAATTGCCGTTTTATAGGTCGATTTCAGTTGCGAAATGATTACTCAACACAAGCATACGACAATTTGGCACTAACATTCGGCAATTGCGACCCCATTAGGATGTCAAATATAATCATATATACCTAACAATACTTACAAATGTAAAATAAAATAAGAATAATCATAAGATTAAATTAGAATAATATTATTCTATGTTTATAACCATTTTTTTAACAAGAGTAGGAAACGCTGACCATAATGAAATTGGAGAGATACAATTTATAGGATTTAATTACCAAACAAGTGGTGCATATTATGCGTGAGTAGAAGCATTTTCTTACACTTTGCGCACAATTTTAGAGGTGCATATTACGGATGAAGGCGTATTATACATGGGGAATTATGGCGCTTCAGCTCAATTCGATTATCAGTAGATTATTCTCTTTTTCAGTCAAGCTGTCACAAGACCAAACTAAAAAATGTGGTATTCTAAAGATTGTTATGTAGTGGTTTTCTAGTGGAGAAATTTTACCTACCATAAAAATTCGTAGTCTGTCTATATTGCTGAGATGAGGTATTATGTACATTATTTACATTATTCGGACTATTGTCCTTATCTTTTTCGCCATATCTATCACAACGTGGAACTAGAACAGTCTACTCCAGTGAGCGAAATAAAGGGTTCGATTCGACATTCCAACCACCTGAAGAAGGCCGGAGCGTACAACGGCCGAAATGTTGTGATAGATATGGCGAAAAAGATGAGGACAATAGTCTGAATAATGTAAAAAAATTCGTATTAAAACCTCTAGTCTTAAAAATGGGACTACAAAACTGGACACTGACACCAATGGAAAAATACATAATTTTGTTTTCGAGACATTTCTTAATGATAATTAAACAAAATTTTGTGTATGCTAACAGTATCTTCCCATCCACATCCGCTTTTAGAACTCTCTACAGTCTTGTTGCTTTCCGGTCAAATTTGATCTTCAAAAATTTAAATGCAATGTCAATCGTTATTTTCTATCTTCTTAATCCCAGTTATTATATTGCTTTCTCTCATTAATAATGTTTTTTTTTTCATATTCTCTCACACTCAGTAACACCTTCCATCTTAGTGGCATTATTGCCTTACTTGTGGTTAATATGATTAAATATGTTAAAAATGGACAGAACTATGATGAGTAACGAGAAAGTTTTTTGAGAAATTGGATAAAAAAAGGAAACATCTGCGTAGACATATATATATAATACAGAAAGTTGTAACACTAACATGACATATTGAAAAAATAAAGGAGAATTAATTATGATTAAATATCCATCTTTGAAAAAGGACTGGACAGAATCACAAAGAATATAACAGAAATGAGATCAAGAACTGACAACAACAGTAACAATAACTAAAATGGGTTTTTCGAAGAAACATAATCAAATAAATAAAAGTTAATAATAATAATAATAATATTGGAAGAAAAAATAAAAAGTTAGGAAGAAAACCCTCATCAATAATGGAAAAAGCGATAACGGCTACCGAACTTGAAAAATATATTTTCTACAAGAATGTTTAAAGAGAAAGAATTTATAAATTTCAACAGAAAGCGGTACTGGTTGCTCAGTCAAAGAACGCCAAATGTTTCCTTGTAGGAAAACGGCTAATATTACGATTACCATGACCTAACGTGCTTGTGCAAATGGATGGCAGAATAAGGACAGGTAGGGGTGCCTAGTGAACAAATATTGCTGAGGGCGAGAAAGGATAAGGCGTTGTGGTGAGTTATGATCGCCTAAACACTGAAAAGATATAGCAAATAAAAGTAGATGTTAGAAAGATTGTATTGTTCTTAGCTTCTGAATGTAGAGAGTTCATCAACCTTAGAAGTCAGCATTTAAAATCCTATAAATCATCTAGACTAAAAATCTGCCAATTAGAGCCAGATAGAAATGCGTAACTATCCCATACATCAAACAAGACCACTATGTTTAATTGAGCAAGGCACGTGTCCAAATAGAGAGGATGTCGGCAAGAGGATTATGTTCCATCAATCTCTGAATCACCAATCTCTGACAACCAATTGGTGCAAGATCAAAGAAAATGGTGCATGTACTTGTAAGATAGTGTAATACCAATCTTCTAAGCGAGAAAGTGTTGTGGTGTCCTCCCCCTAAAGAGTCTATATTGGACTCTTCCAACTACTATAAGATTAGAAGGAGAGAAGGCTTTGGTGGGGGGGCAGTCGCACAGACTGTTCATTTCTGTCAAACTCTCTGCCTCGGCAGAGAGGAACTCGGACGAGGCTTTGCCGTAGGGCAAAGTTTCGTCCGGGGAGGTAGACAGTCCCTGAACCCGTCTAGGCGGGTGCAAAGGGAAAATTTGCGGGCTCGGAGAAACCGCGTTAAACTTGGCCTTGTGCCACATACATTCGTTGTTGGGGGCCTGTTAAATATTAACAGTCGAATAGATTGAACGCTGGGTCAACCGACACACAATCACTAGTCGTGTAATGCTCTTCTGTTGTACTTACTGTTTAATATAAGATATATCTGCAACACTTGTTTTGTTATTTTTTTAATCATTTACTTGGTCACAACATCTTGCTTATAATAGGCGGAAGAGTCCAACATAGACTCTTTAGAGGGAGATCACCACAACAGAAAGATTTGCTACCGTTGAAAAATTGTATTCGACATTCAAGCTGTTCTTTAAAACTAACCATTGATACCAGTATGAAAAACGTAACTTTCTAGCCTACTAGGCGGGGTTCTGTAAGATCGTTGTAAATAAAAACAAAGCGCTAAGCTAATTAAACAAAGAATTATTTCAAAGATATGACCTGAATACTTTATTTATATTCTACTGTATAACATGCCGAGGTTAGCCCAGGAATAATTCTCTGATGTTGGTTTTCTAGTACAACATGTCGCCTGGAACTGGGCATAACTATTCCGAGAAATGCTGTGAAGTAACCAGAAAAGTGGGACGTGTGCTTTGCGTGGTGATTTTCGGTACAGAAATCGCGAATTGGCGTGTCGAGTTCAAATTCAAGCCGAAGAATTTATCCAGTTTCCTTCACAAGACTTGGGTTATCCTGTGATATGCTTTTCAGGGCAATTCCAGTTTGATTGCCACGCGCTGGAATCGTCTTCCCTGGCTGATGTAATCCAGAAGTCACCTTCCAGAGAAATCGATCATGAAGAGATTTGAATCAGGGTCACTTGACCAAACAGCGAATGGTCTAACGACTCGGCCACGCGGGCGCACATACATATATACATACATAAATGGTATGGTGATTACGATAACTTACTCAGATGAGAGAAGTTTCCCTCGCATCACTTGTAATCGCTTCTGTCTTATTTCGTCATTCATATCTCCTAATATTCACCGGTGCAAAGTTACTCAAAGGCTTACTGTGTGGGGTTGCATGAGAGTTATGAGTATAAAGTCGAAGTAGTCTTTAGAAGGAACCAGAAACCCAATCCTAAATGAGTGGCGAATTATTTTCCATTCTGCAACTCCTTTCTCACAGACGAGTCGTCACCAGGCTCTCGCTGCTCTATCGCTATTTCCATGACGAGTATTCAGATGAACTACACCCCTTAGAAGTCCTAACCTTCACGTCTAAGACCCGCCATGTCACAAAAATTTCCTTCGTATTCCCGTATGAGGTGTAAGTTCCACTAAAGCAGCTTTCTCCTACGAACAACTACCTTGTGGAACTGACTCCCAAGAGTTCGCTTCGCCGATCACGACAATCAACCAGTTTAAGTATATCTGCCACACATATCCGAATAAGCTGTGTCTCTACCTGGCTCTCGAGTCTTATACAAGATGAACATCACTGTAAGAAGAAGAAGAAAAATCAGCGTAGATGAGTAATCAGCAGTACAAAAATTCTGTAATTCCAAATTGTCTTTGTTTATTCCATTCACACTGTCTTGTGTTCTTCGATGGACGCCATCTTTCTTTTGCACGGCAAAAGATTGATAAGCTATTTTCGCCATTGCAAGAAAAAAAAGAATTAAGAAGAATATAAAAGGAATAAGAAAATAGTATTGAAGAATGAAGAAGGAAAAAGGGTTAAAAATCAAGAAAGAGAAAGGAACGAAAGTCAAGAGAAGGAAAAAGGTATAATGAAAGAAAAGTTAAAGAAAGAAATACCTGAGAAGAAAGAAGTATTTCGGGTAGAAGGAAGCGAAAGAAGAGGGAGGGGAAGGGAAGGAAGACAAGTAATGTGTTATGGTTAACGAGCAGAAAGCTAAATGAAGGAAATGTAATGTAGGAAGATGAAGTGAGTTGCCTTGAATAAATGGTGATGGTAACGAGGTTAGATCCATTGGCGCACAGCACGCGTTAATACGCCCCACCCCCGATGTTACCTGTCCGTCGCTCTTTCGGGCCCGTCTCTCCTCTTTATAACGCGAGGACATGGGTAAGAGATAAGGACGAAACGGGAGGTTGGTGAGTGGGGTTTGTAACGGGTGGCTCTATTTGTGAATGCCATCAGGCACTTGACAGGAATACCTAAGAAGAAAGAAGTATTTCGGGTAGAATGATGGCTAAGAAAGAATCGTATAAATTTGGCGGAGGCCATAGAAATTAGGAGGAATTAGTAAACAAGAAAGAAAGGAGGAGACAAACAAAGAAGAATAAATAAAAGCAGAAATAAAAAAAAGAGAAAAAAATGAAAAATAATGATGTAATTATAAAATGAAGAAGAAAAGTGGAAAAAAAATAAAAATAAAAAGAGGTAGCAAGAAAAACGACAGGAGAAGAAAAATGAGAGAAGAATGTAGGAAAAGAAAAAAAATAGGAAAAATATATTGGAAAAATTAAAGAAAAGAAAAATAGATAAAAGAAAACATAAGTTTGCATGGGAAAGAGAAGTAAAAAAAAAAAAATAGAAACAGATATATTTCGAGGGAAAGGAAGAAAAACTAGAAATAAAAAAAAGCAGAATTTAGTTTTAGAAAAGGAACAGAAAAGAAAAATATATCTATATTGAAAAAAAAAGATGAAAGAAATAGAAAAATAGAAATAAAGTTTCAAAGCAAAAAAAAAATTAAATGGAAGAAGGAAAAAATGAAAAATGAAATTGAAATTAAAAACAATAAAAAGTGGGAATGAAAAATGAAAATTAAAAAAGAGAGACAAGGCAAGAACAGAAAAAAAGAGAAAAAAGAGACAAGGTAAGGAGTGAATCAAAAAAAAAGGTTAAGAGAGAGTAGGCAAGAAACGAAAAAGAATGGGGAAAAGAGAAAAAAAAAGATAAGAACTGAAAAGAAAGGAGAAAAAAGGAGACTAGGAAAGAACTGAAAAAGGAAGTAGAAATGAAGACATGTCAAGGACTGAAAAAGAAAAGAGAGACTAGGCAAGAACTGAAAAAGAAAGGAGAAACTAGAGACAAGTTAAGAACTGAAAAAGGAAAAAGAGAGGCATGAAATGAAGATGAACGAGAAAAGAGAGAATTGAAAAAGAAAGGAAGAAAGAGAGAAAGGCAAGAACAGAAAAAGAAGGAGAAAAGAGAGACAAGTTAAGAACTGAAAAGAAAAGGGTACAAATCAAGAAGTGAAAAAGAGAGGAGAAAAGAGAAACAGGGCAAGAAATGAAAAAGATAGCTGAAAAGAGAGACATTGCAAGAACAGAAACAGAAAGGAAAAAATACAGACAGGTAAGAACTGAAAAAGAACGGGGAAAAGAAAGACAGTGCAAGAACTGAAGAAAAAAAAAGGAGAAAAGAGAGACTAGGCAAGAACTGAAAAAGAAAGGGGGTAAGAGAGAATGGCAAGAAATGAAAAAGAAAGAAGAAAAGAGAATGGCAAGGACTGAAAAAGAAAGGAGAAAAGAGAGACAAGAAATGAAAAATTAAGGAGAAAAGAGAGAAAGGCGAGAATTGAAAAAGAAAGGAGGAAAGAGAAAGGAGAAAGATAGGGCAGGAATCGAAGAAAAAAAGGAGAAAAGAGAGACTAGGCAAGAACTGAAAAAGGAAGAAGGGAAAGATAGACATGGCAAGAACTGAAAAAGAAAGGAGGAAAGAAAAAAGAGACGAGGCAAGAACTGAAAAAGAAAGGAGGAAAGAGAGACTAATCAAGAACTGAAAAAAAAAGGAGGAAAGAGAGACTAGTCAAGAACTGAAAAAGAAAAGAGAAAAGAGAGACTAGGCTGAAAAAGAACTGAAAAAAGAAAAAGAAAGGAAGAAAAAGAAAAGAAAAAGAGAGAGAGGCAAGAACTGAAAAAAAAAGAAAAGAGAGACGAGGCAAGAACTGAAAAAGAAAGGAGGAAAGGAGACTAGTCAAAATAGAGACGAGGCAAGAACTGAAAAAGAAAGGAGGAAAAAAAAGAAAAGAGACTAGTCAAGAACTGAAATAGAAAAGACTAGAAAAAAAAGAAAAAGACTAGGCAAGAACTGAAAAAGACTAGGAAAAGAAGAAAGGAAAAAAAAAAGAGACACTAGTCAAGAACTGAAAAAAGAAAAGAAAAAAAGAGACGAGGCAAGAACTGAAAAAGAAAAGAGAAAAGAAAAGACTAGTCAAGAAATGAAAAAGAAAGGAGGAAAGAGAGACTAGTCAAGAACTGAAAAAGAAAAGAGAAAAGAGAGACTAGGCAAGAACTGAAAAAGAAAGGAAGAAAGAAAAGAGACACTAGTCAAGAACTGAAAAAGAAAAGAGAAAAAAGAGACGAGGCAAGAACTGAAAAAGAAAAGAGAAAAGAAAGACTAGTCAAGAACTGAAAAAGAAAGGAGGAAAGAGAGACTAGTCAAGAACAGAAAAAGAAAAGAGAAAAAAAAGAGACTAGGCAAGAACTGAAAAAGAAAGGAAGAAAGAAAAGAGAGACTAGTCAAGAACAGAAAAAGAAAAGAGAAAAGAGAGACGAGGCAAGAACTGAAAAAGAAAAGAGAAAAGAAAGACTAGTCAAGAACTGAAAAAGAAAGGAGGAAAGAGAGACTAGTCAAGAACTGAAAAAGAAAAGAGAAAAGAGAGACTAGGCAAGAACTAAAAAAGAAAGGAAGAAAGAAAAGAGAGATTAGTCAAGAACTGAAAAAGAAAAGAGAAAAAAGAGACGAGGCAAGAACTGAAAAAGAAAAGAGAAAAGAAAGACTAGTCAAGAACTGAAAAAGAAAGGAGGAAAGAAAGACTAGTCAAGAACTGAAGAAGAAAAGAGAAAAGAGAGACTAGGCAAGAAAAGGAAAAAAAAAGAAAGGAAGAAAGAAAAGAGAGACTAGTCAAGAACTGAAAAAGAAAAGAGAAAAGAGAGACGAGGCAAGAACTGAAAAAGAAAGAGGAAAGAAAGACTGTTCAAGAACTGAAAACTGAAAAGGAAAGGAAAAAGAAAAAGAGACTAGTCAAGAACTGAAAAAGAAAAGAGAAAAGAGAGACTAGGCAAGAACTGAAAAGAAAGGAAGAAAGAAAAAAAGAGAGACTAGTCAAGAACTGAAAAAGAAAAGAAAAAAAAAGAGAGACTAGTCAAGAACTGAAAAAAAGAAGAGAGAAAAGAAAGACTAGTCAAGAACTGAAAAAGAAAAGAGGAAAGAGAGACTAGTCAAGAACTGAAAAAAGAAAAGAAAAGAGAGACTAGGGAGAAGAAAAGAAAAGAGAAAAGAGAGACTGAAAAAGAAAGGAAGAAAGAAAAGAGACACTAGTCAAGAACTGAAAAAAAAAAAGAGAAAAAAAAGAGACGAGGCAAGAACTGAAAAAGAAAGGAGGAAAGAGAGACGAGGCAAGAACTGAAAAAGAAAGGAGGAAAAGAGAGACTAGTCAAGAACTGAAAAAGAAAAGAGAAAAGAGAGACTAGGCAAGAACTGAAAAAGAAAGGAAGAAAGAAAAGAGAGACTAGTCAAGAACTGAAAAAGAAAAGAGAAAAGAGAGACGAGGCAAGAACTGAAAAAGAAAGGAGGAAAGAGAGACGAGGCAAGAACTGAAAAAGAAAGGAGGAAAGAGAGACTAGTCAAGAACTGAAAAAGAAAAGAGAAAAGAGAGACTAGGCAAGAACTGAAAAAGAAAGGAAGAAAGAAAAGAGACACTAGTCAAGAACTGAAAAAGAAAAGAGAAAAAAGAGACGAGGCAAGAACTGAAAAAGAAAAGAGAAAAGAAAGACTAGTCAAGAACTGAAAAAGAAAGGAGGAAAGAAAGACTAGTCAAGAACTGAAAAAGAAAGGAGGAAAGTGAGACTAGGCAAGAACTGAAAAAGAAAGGAAGAAAGAAAAGAGAGACTAGTCAAGAACTGAAAAAGAAAAGAGAAAAGAGAGACGAGGCAAGAACTGAAAAAGAAAGGAGGAAAGAGAGACGAGGCAAGAACTGAAAAAAGAAGGAGGAAAGAGAGACTAGTCAAGAACTGAAAAAGAAAAGAGAAAAAGAGAGACTAGGCAAGAACTGAAAAAGAAAGGAAGAAAGAAAAGAGACACTAGTCAAGAACTGAAAAGAAAAGAAAAAAAAAGAGACGAGGCAAGAACTGAAAAAGAAAAGAGAAAAAGAAAGACTAGTCAAGAACTGAAAAAGAAAGGAGGAAAGAAAGACTAGTCAAGAACTGAAAAAGAAAGGAGGAAAGAAAACAGAGACGAGGCAAGAACTGAAAAAGAAAGGGGGAAAGAGAGACGAGACAAGAAATGAAAAACGGAGAAAAGGGAGACTAGGCAAGAACTGCAAAAAAGAGGAGAAAAGAGAGACTGGGCAAGAATTGTATAGCCTGAAAAAGAAGAGAAAAGTGCGAATTTAAAAAAACGCAAGAAAGTGAAAAGAAAGACGAACTTGGGTGTGTGGAAAAGTAAACGACAATGGGTAATGGTTAATGTGCTCAATGCTAAATGGAGAAAAGATTGAAAGGGAATATGTTTTGTCCTTTTGTTATTTCTCTTAGACCCTGTTCTGCCACTTGATTAAGCGCATTATGTTACGCATTGCTTTCCCTTCTCTCTTTTTCCCTCTATCCGCCTTGTGAGTATGAGATTCCCCAAGCCTTCTTTTTTCATTAAGTATCCCAGAAATTTCAGCTGCTTCTTTCTGATGTTAAGTATAAGCTTCCTCCTTGCTTGCATCCTCTCCAAAATCTGATCGTTGCTCACATGTTCAGTCCACGGTATCCTGAGTATCCTTCTGTAGAACTATACCCCTTCAAGCCTCTTCTTCATCTTTGAGGAGACCGTCCAATATTTGCTGCCGTAAAGGAGGACAGATATCACGTAGCAGTTCAGTATTCTTTTCTTTGTTACCAACTAAATCCTCTTGTCTCGTAGTACTTTCTCTAGCTTTTGGAATGGAGTTGATATGCCGTTAAAGAAACAAATGATATTAAAAGGAAATCACAGATGAAGAGGAAACTTGAGGCAACAGAGACGTGACAACAGAAGGATGCTGAGGATCATGGATGGATCATGATTGCAACGAGGAAGTTTTAAGAAAAATTGAAACGAACCTTGTACTTGATTCGGAAAGGAACAGTTGAAATTTCTGGGACACGCAATGAGGAAAGAAGGATTGGAGAATTTGACATTCACAGGACATAATGAAAGCAAGACAGAGGCAAACATCGAAACACCTATCTAAAACAAGGGATAACAAATTAAGGTCTGGGAGATATTGTAAACAAACATTGCTGAGAGCTACAAAGACGAGGAAGTTGTCGAGAGCCATGAACGCTCAGCCCTCCTGAAGAGAAATTGCACATAAAATTATTGAAGTTACTGCGTATTTATATCTTTTGAACACCTGCCAATGGCGACAGTGTTAAACGCGAAACTATCTCAGCCACACGCTAAACCCAATCGCTGCAGAGATAATAAACAATGATAAAAACAACAGCGGCAGCTGTCAGAATATTTTTCTACAAAACATTGCTCTATTATTAGAAGTTATAAAAATAGTTGTAGCGTTTGCAATTGTGGCTTAATAATAGAACATAAAACAGCAAAATAACTGACGCCAAGTCAAGAGCACTTTTCTAGTTTAGTCAAATAAAAGACCAATCCTGATCAAGCCATCTGTTCTTGAAAAGCCACTGTCACAGTCGAGGAAAACATATAAGTACAAATTAGGATAGCTCACTTTTTTAATTTATCTACATTGCTTTAGATAACAACAACAACAATAATAGTAGTAGTAGTAGTAAGTATCCGTTCGTTTTTGTCGTCAGATAAACGGATGCCTACTACTAAATAAACAGTTAGCGGCTTCTTTGATCTAAATTTAATCGATTGGTGGTGAGTCTGGAGTGTCCTCTCAAGTGTACAATCCTGGGGGATGATATGTGGAGCTGTCCAGACCATGGGATACAACGAGCAGATTTAGGTATCATTATATTTTCTCTGAATGTAAGTTTTCATCCATATTATTTTATTTCCTTTGATTTCTGGTGTCTACTCATTTCTTTCCGGGTCCTGACCAGAGACCAAAGATCAGAAATGGCATCATGATATTTTCCTTTGAGCAGTTTTGAAAAGGAAATCGTACATACAGTACAATATTTTCTATTTCATTAAGGCATGGGCTACCAAGGATTCCTTCAATGAGTCTATTGGAATCTTTTCCAATCAATCCAAGGCTTCCAACCACAACTGAAATTGTTAATGTACTCATGCGCCACATTTTTAGAGATTTCGATTTCAAGGTCCTTGATAGTTTTTTTTTAAGATCTTCAAAGATACATTGCAGTCTGCAGAGACTGTCATGCTAATAAGGAGGCACATTTTGTCATTGCGGTCTCTAATCACGATGTCAGTGTGATTAGATTTAGTTCTTTTGTCTGTGTATATTGTAAAGTCTCATAACATTGTTACAGGTTCTATCTCTGTAACCGGGTCTGGGTGACGTTCATACCAATTTCTTTCAGTTTCTTTTCCGTAGAAGTTGCAGATTTTCCAGTGTAGATATTGGCCCACTCTGTCAAGCCGTGTTTTATATTCAGTGGGTGCCAATACCGTGCACCCTGATACAAGATGGTCAATTGTTTCAGGATATTTATCACACAATTCTTCGGAATGTGTGCTTGGTAATTTCTAGTTAGCAAGCATTGGTCCTGTGCAGGAAAAATAAAACCTTCGGTATCAGCTTTTAACCCTGCACTACGTAGCCACTGATGGTTATGGAGTTGGTCTACATCATCTTGCTTGGTGCGGGCAGATTATTGACCGTGAAGAGGGTTTAACCTGACATCGTTTCTGTATCTGGACGGTTGCATTTGATTTTGCTTTCATTTTTAAGTATTTTGCAGCTTCAGTCGTTGTATCATGCATTTCTTTACCCACTTGAAACAAAGCAAAAAAAAAAAAAACACCAGGGCACAGGGGTTACTATATGTTAGAGAATATGAGAAAAAAAGCTACTATTAATGAGGTAGGACAATAAAAGTACAAAAATTAAGAAGATATGGTTTAAAACATTGCATTTAAATTTTTGCAGATCAAAGTTGAAGCGGGAAGAGAGTTCCACAAGCGGGAGGTGCGAGAGAAGAAACTGATAAAAACTTATGGTTACATCTAGCCATTTCAAATATTAAAAGATGAGGCCTTTTCACCAATCTAGTACTACGCTTAAATTCATAAAGTATAGGTACCATATGGAAAAGAACATCAGAACAATTACCATTAAATTATTTATAGAAAAGGCTCAGGGAAGATACGCTAAGGTGCTGGGAAAGGAGCTGAAGCCGAGAGGCCAGGTCAGGATCAATAACATTGCAGATTCTATTTCGGATTTTATCAAGAATATCTAAATATATACCAGAAGCACCAGACTAGATATGACAGCAATATTCAAAGCAAAGACAAATGTTAAACTTATAAATATGTAAGATAGATTCCGACGAGAAAAATTGTATAGAATGACATAGTGAATCAATTTTTTTGCTGCTGACTTAGCAATTGATTTAATATACTCTTTCCACTTCATGTCAGCTCAAAAGATTAATCCGAGAAGGCACTCATTGGAGGTTAGCAGCAGCCATGCAGATGGAAAGTAAAAAAAGGTTTTCTTTCTGATGAATAAAATAGAGCAGTTTCATTTTTGAGGCCATAAAATTAACAAGTCACTCCTTTACCCTTTTAAATACATATTGTATCTCCTTTTTGAGATCAGTTGCCAATTTGAAGATGTTTTGAAATAGGAAGCTGAAAGTTGCGTCAGTTGTTTCCGGAGCACTGGAAACGATATTTAAATGTATAAGAAAAAAAATGAAGGAGCCGGAAATGAGGGGAGAAATCGAAACTATCCAAATGGCAGCATTGCCCGAAACATCTAGCCTTCTAAGAAAAGTATAAGAGTACTGAAGAAATTTACTGTCTCTTCATCTCTATTGTAAGAGGTCAGTTAGTCCTCGCATACGAGCGAGATGTGCCCTATGTCGGGTACCCTGCTTACACTTGATATTTTGATTTGATTATCAGGGTAGACGACAGATGTTTACTTCGAGTAGTATTCTCGTACTTTCTTCTTTCCTGGGTTGATTCTCTCCTCATTATTCTCTCCTCGGTATTGGAGGTAAAAAAAGTTCTGAATCGGCGTAATCCGCCTGATAGTCAGGGATCTGCAACATTGAATAAATCCTAAGGTTATCATACTAATAGGTGTATAATAGCGTGGCAGCTGTATTTTTATTTTGTTTGGTTTGGTTTATTTTCTTTTACGGTATATCAATTTCAATGGGCTGTTTAATGCCGACAATGTTTTTTAAGATAGGTTCGTATGAATAGAACATAGTATTCTTTGCAAGAAATCAGTTTGTACATAGGTTTTCATTTACGTATTTTTGTAAAAAAACGTTTTTGTCGACAGTCAAATGTATTGCTGGTAATGTTTTTGTTGTTTGTTTGTTTTTTTTTCAAAAATGTATTGCTGGTACTTTTACTATAAATATATATTTTTATACTTTCACAGTGTTTTGACTCCAGTTTGGGGGTTAACGATTTGCCCGCATCTGGGACCATAACAGGTGCTACTACTCCGGGTCAGGGTAGATCTGGAAACAAAAGGTATTAAGATGTGGTTCCACGTTTCTCAAAACTCCCAGATCGGAGGATTTGCTGCCAGATGTAGTTTATCGTCATACCCAGAACGTTGATCTTTTGTGAATGGGATCTTAACCGTGTTGTAGTTTTCAGTGAAGCCACTCGATGAAGTGAACTAGTTAATCTATTAGTGCTGTTCTTTTTGAAAACTGATTCTGTTATTACACATTTAGGCGCAAATAGCCTTGGGAAAGATATGAATCCATCTCCTCTCCCACCTAAGGGTTAAATAATAGGACTTGTATCTAAAAAAATGATAGTTATTCTAAAAAAATCGGTAATGCAATATTCGCTTGCAAAAATTTACTCTTATACTTCAAAATATGCGTCGACTTTAAATAACCCAAAGAGTGATGATAAACCGTAAAAAATAAATCATTCGATAGTTCTTTCATATGGAGCGTTAATAATTCCTTTCTTCATCTCTTCCCTTTTCTAATATTCCGATATACATAAACGTATTCGTCATACACTCAGAATCTTCGTTAACTCTATCATTTACCGTCCATAGAACCAACTTATTTAATAACACTCGGACTTGAGTAGTCTTTGGGCTTTGCATTGGCTGAAAATTTAGTAAAACTAAAGCTACTAATTACTTGAAGGCTCAATGACTGTAAAGAATAATAATAGTAATAATAATAATAATAAATCTTCAAAAAGGTATCAAGCTGTCAAAATACAAGGACCTTGAAATCGAAATCTCAAAAACGTGGCACATGGGAACATCAAGAATCCCTGTTGTAGTTGGAGCCCTCGGATTGATTGGAAAAGATTCCAGAAGACTAATTGAAGGGATTCCGGAAATACAAAAAATTGTTCTCACGAGTACAGCCCACACCTTATGAAGGGCTCATTCTATGTAAAATATGTCTTTTTTCTTGTTTGTTTGTTTGTTTGTTTTTTTTCAGTGGAAAATATGATGCCATTTCTAACCTTAGGTCTCTGGGCGGGAAACGGAAAGAAATGAGTACACATCAATAATCAAAGGAAATAATAATAATAATAATAATAATGCAACTTGATTACAAAAGAATACAAAAAAAGACATGTTAGGGTAGGAACAATGATACACTAAAAATTGTGCAAACTGTTCGAGTTCATGAAAAAAAAATCATAGCCTGGGAACACGGTATCTAAACACAACACAACATCCAAGTGAGAAGACCAGGTCTGGTAGTCTTAAAAATATAGCAACTTTTGTTGTGCAAAAGAAACTGAAAGCGACATGTTGGTTTCACGACGACAACATTATCAAGAAAACTTACATTACACATGTGGGATTCAAGCTCTTTTTCTTGGTAACTGTGAAAAATGTATAACAAGAAGTTTAGGAGTGTCCTTAAAGGTTGAAGCAATCGGAACTTTGTGTTAAAGCTGAAGAATCGGCATTGAAATTTGAGGTGACTTACTCTTGTTTTAGCCCCATCAAGAACGACCAGGCATCTGGTTGATTGATAGAATGACTCGTTTTCTACGGCTTATCAACCCTTAGCAGGTTATTTAAAGCCAGAAAATATTTAAATTATAAGATCACCGAAGTTAAGCAACGTCGAGCCTGGTCAGTACCTAGATTGGTGACCACATGGCACTACCAGGTGCTCTAAGTTTGGATATGCGAGTGGGGTAAGTCTCGAAATGATTAGTTGATTTGTTTTTACGGCTTATCAACCCTTTCCGGGATATTTCTTTCTTTTTATGTACCGTATCCTTTTACGACGTAGGCGATCATGGTTCTCAACCTCCCTCTATTCATTGCAGTTATCAACAAGTTCCGGCCCTCTGGTTCCTCCTGCAGATCATGTTCTGTCATCCATTTGCTTAAGCCTGCCA